CTTAATAAACGTCATTGGGGAAAATAAAATACAGTCAAACCTCTGAACAATAGATGTCCACGGAAACAAAAAAATAGCCGTTGTTTGTTGGTGACTGTTGTTTTGAAGTTATTTTGTGTGCATTTCAAAAAGAAACGTTTCTAAAAAAATGGCAGTTATTTACAGGTAATATATAAATGTTTGTTTGTTTGTTTGTCTGTTCGCTATGCATTCCTAAGCCGTTCGACCCAATTGCTCGGCAAATATGTTAACATACTTCTAACTTAGATAATTCCATACATATCATCCGAAAATATTGATTCCGTTTTTCTAAATCAATTAATTTCTGTCTACTTTCTAGCCAGGTGACGTTTTCCGAGTTTTCTTCACGTCAGTATCACCTAAATGAGGGCCAGTTTCCCATTAAAGGTCTTCCAGGAGGCATCCCCTCGGCAGGTCACGTTGCCTTAACTAAATAAACCAAACTAATTTTAATAATTATTCTATAAATTCGCTATTTATGAGGACATGCTGCTCACTTAGTTTATAGACATTCTGATAATGTTTTTAAAATAGGTTTTACCACATATGTTTTGAAATTTACGATTACTAAAGCCGAATGTTACAAGCTAGTTACCTTATTAAAAAAAATATTAATAAATATTTTTCTTATAATGTAAATCATTTATAAAATAAGTGAACAAGGCTGAGCTTAAAGGATTGTATTTAGTGTTTCCCCTAATTTTGATGTATGTTTAACTATATTTAACTTAGATATGAATATTGTCAATTTTGTCAAAGTTAGCTTTAGGCAGGTTGCTTCAATATACAATTATCAATGACATATGAAGCTTATGCAAACATAGGAAATTCTGTTAATGACGAATGCACTACTGAGTTCGATTTATGAAATAAATTATAATACGTAAATATTATTAGAAATTCGAATATATTTACATAATAAACTATTTTAATTTATATATAGATCTAATTAATTATATTTATAATTTTAATAATTATATCTCATGTTTCCGCTACTGACTTTAAAACATTAGCAGAAGTGCACAGCTCATTACACTCTCAATAACGTATAATAAAGATTTCGAATCATTCATCATAGCAGGTATTTATTAGAAAGCAAGGTTTTATGCAGAACTACAGGCTTACTGCCTGTAGTTCTGTATAAAACCTTGCTTTCTATAGTTTTACTCGCTTTTATTGATTTGAAATATTTTTAAATGTATTGCAGATTTGTGTTTACACATTGTAATTCTTATATAAGCTTAATATATATATATATATATATTTAGTAACTGTAGGTGTTTGGGCTTAATTAATAAATGGTTTAATAATTTCAAAAAGTCTGTGGCTTTTTTGTGGTAAAAAACATATGTTAAAAGATGCCATTGCTGGTCAAAACTAATGTTACTTATACTTCTTTCGACGTAATACTTTTGCAATATATTGATACAACTATGTGTTAATATCATGTGTAACACATACCAAGGTACCAGTCTAAGGATTTCATTCATTTCAACTCTCTTTGATAGAGAAATTGCTGTAAAGATATATAAATCCCTTATATAGAAATCTGTTCATCCATGTCGTAAATTAATGGTGTAAATAAAGAGTTGCAAAGTGAATTGTTTCGTTGGACCTTCTCTTCTATGCCATTTTGCATAATTTTCAGAACAAACAATATTATAATTTAATACGTGGAAACAACATGACTACTGATATAAATAGTGTGACACCGTCAGAAATTTAGTGATAAGAGTTTGTAGTGTTTACGATCTGAATACCACAGAGATAATGTTAATTAAATGGTTATTGGTAAGAAAGAAATTGTCGACAGGTTGAGAAATAGAGCATCTTCCAGCCGTTCATGTCGTTAGGACATTGAGAAATTTGCTCTGATACAAGACTTAAATTTCTCAGTAATTCAACTTCAATATACTTGATTGAGAATATTGAATTTCTAAGAATGCTAGCATTGTTGAATAGAATAGTAAGCATCTAACTGTGCTAACATAGTAAAATTCTAAAACATAATCTATAAACATATGATATTCTTTACTTCTCGCCGTTCAAATTCCTATCTCTTTGACTAAAACATATAGACTTATAGTAATGAGTCCAGGCAATTAACATCACAAAGTCCAATCTCTATAAAGGATCTAGTGGATAAAAACACTGAACAGTGACAGTTGGTGTCTGGTTCTCACATCACCAAAAGTATGGTCGCGTGAAGTTATGCGGGTTTTCTTTACGTGTCTAACATCTAAATAGGGGCCTCCCTGGAGACACTCCTCGCCCATTTGTTGCATTGCCTTATACCATCAATCCAATTCAATCTCTACAGGATAGAGAATTTAAGTGAAGGAATCGATATTATTCTTGTAAAGGATTTGTAGTGCCATCTGGCTTTCGTCTGAGATTTTATTGCTTATAACGTTCGAAACGTTTAGTCCTACGAGAAAACAATTCTTTGACATCTGGATGGAGTATTTGAGAAAATAGAAATAATATGGATAATATGTATTTTATTGCTTCAGTAAAAAGTCTACTTTTATAAAATAGCATCTTAAGTTTACAGTTTTTAAATAACTTTAATCCAATTTTATAAAAAAATAATATAGAAATTTCTAGTTTAATCAGAGTTATCATCAACTAAAATCATATGAACAAAAAATTAAATATTCACGAATACCAAATGTTGTTTTATCCATTTACACAATTACGCTTATTAAGTACGAGTATTTAGAATAATCTAAAAAGAGAGCTGAGAAATATTTTTCCACTGTTTTAAAAGTATTATTGTATTGTACAATACATGTTTATTGTACTTACTGGATATAGTAATATTCTTTTCAGTGTTCAACAAGCATAGTTAAGAAAAAACAATAGTTATGTGAGTAAAGTAGCTAAAATTAAACTACGTAGAAAATAATCTTGTATTAAAAGATGACACTGCAGTGTACTCTTTCAATGGTTTAAACTGTCTACTGTACTTCTTCCCAGTCTCACCTATATATCTTAAGACAATGAGGTTTACTTTCTCGGCTCTGGTATATATAACAGAAGGGAAAGTGTGGCGATCGGTCATAAAGTAACTCGCCAATAGTTTTACATTTTTAAGGAACATGTAACGAAGTTTTATTTAATAAGGTGAAAATAATAAATACACTATTTACTTAACGAAGAAAACGAAGATTTTACTTCATTTCAAAGGCATGGCATCACTATCTGAAGTCATTAGCGAGGTTGCGGCCGAAGTTTTCATTTGTAAAACGTGAACGTCAAACGTCGAGCGGCGCTCGACGTTCGACGTTCACGTTTTACAAATGAAAACTTCGACCGCAACCTGGCTATTGTCTTTTCTTCTTTTCTTCGCTCTTTTTCTTTACTCTTGGCTCCTTATTTTAAATACTCCACACTGAACTGTTGTTTTTTCCCGTATATTATTGAATAGTTTTTATCTTCAAATATCTCATGCCGCATTGTATTAAATGCATAAACAACAATGACATTCATATACTATATATAGATATATCGCGACATTAAACTGGTAGGTGCTAACACGACATGCAGACGGCCGAATGGCCGAGCGGTTATAATGGCAACCTACTACTCGGAGGGACCCGGAATTGAATCCGTACGAGTCAAATAACCAGAGGAATTTATCGAGGGGAATAAATACATCGGGCTCATTCCATTATGCGCCCCATTGTTAGTCTGGACGAATCCATAATGGATTTGTTAAAAAAAAAAAAGGTCCTCTTTTTTGCCCACAGGGAAAAAAGAGTTTTAAAAAATTCACAGTTGTGTAATGCTATTATTAAAGATTCATGATATGTAAATTCTTATTTAACATATACATACGCAAAAAATATAATGTAATAAATCGATTTACAGTTCTAAAATTATACCTTTGTTAATATTATTCAGTATCTATTGTTAATTCACTTACAGGAGTTGATAATTAGCAGGAAATTTATGTAATTATTGTAATAATAGGGTAATTGTACCGTAATGAATAAGTATACGTAACATATGATATATAGANTAAGCAACTAAAATTAGTTAATATGCCTGAACTTTTATATAACGTTTCAGGTTCTAGATATGTAAGATGGGAAAAACAACAGAACAGAACTTGAACAAAACGAAAGAAATGGAATTGAATAGAGCAGAAATTGAAATATTGCGTAGACGTTCATAGTTAAAATTTAAAAACTGTATACAAAATGTAATTATTATTTACCTTAAATTCTGTTTTTAAAAACTTAATTTTTATTTATAAAAAAACCACAATAAATAAGGCATTTATAACTAATTACTTAGATAAAAAGATGATTCATTAACCTAATTTCTTGCGCATGGAATTAACGAAAAAATAAAGAAAACAATGTAACCTGATAGCAATAAAAAAAAACTGTATACGAGCCAAAATAGATCAATAATAACAGATAGAGGTTCTGGAAGGTTTTATTTATTTTCATTAATCAGAAACGTAACAGAAAGTGTTTGTGTGTGTACTGTATATATATAAATATACCTGTACTTTCTCTTTTCCCTATAGAAAATAAAACAATGTGTACGCCAACCGAGCAACATGTGGGTTAATCATCGATTTTAACTAGAAGCCAAAATTTTCTCTATTATTTACATGTGTAGCGCGGTGTTAAACGGTTAGAAACACACATACGAACCGTTAAAAATTCAAAACAAAAAAATACTACAACACTACAACATCCAAGGAATGGACATAAAATAGAGTACCTGGTAAGTTGCTCACTGGAAACAGAACTGACATTTACTCAATTGTTATATAAGATGACAGTAGCATAGTATTATTTTGAATTTTTTTACATATTACTCGAAATATTTTGCTATATTCTTACGCAAATTACTGTACGTGTACGCTTTGTATACTCACACGTGATACATCTGGTACACGGGATTTTGTTTGTAGACACACGGAAGACAATTAAAAAAACATTATGAAATACTGCACTAACCTCTGAATGTAGCCCTTGCTAATCGATCGGATTTGCCTGTCAATCCACTAACGAATCTGAGTTTAAATTTGAGAGCCATATTGCTTTAACCAGGTACACACAAAAGTCAAGTCAATCCAACATAGTGCGCTTTGCTAGACACGTATGAACCGGGTGCTCTCTTCTACAAAAGCTGTTGCTGGCCGTACTACCGCGCTTAACCACGCTATATTTGCTATTGGTCGATACGTCACTATGACAACGGAGGTAGAGTCTTCTGGATTGGTTGGAATGACGTCACTAAGCTGCACCCTTCACAATCAATAAGAGAATGTTTGAGAATGGATCGGGATGTAATTCATTCATGAAACGGAATTCAAACCCACTTGATGATTTTTCTTATATTTTAATAGTGATTTGTTATATAATGTTTTTTTTAATTTGTAAATTAATTTTTTTGTAATTTATCTGAATGCCTTTATTCGATATTAAATTTTTTTATTTTGGAATAATTGTAAAAATACATAAATTTTTATTTATTTTAACATTATAGTATGTTGGAAAAAATCTCGTGTATAGAGAGACATGCTCAATATTCCAATATTTAAACAATTTTAAGTGGTGCAGGAATGTGAAAACTTTCTACAGATCTCCAGGTACTTTTTCTCCTTCCATATAACAAGAATTTTTACTGTAAAAGTTTAAAAAATGCATATAAATCGTACATCATTTAAAACATACCACCGACATCCTCTCCAACTTTATCTTACGTAAAACGTGTTGTAATATTGAATCTGTAACGTATCACTTGTTTGTGTTTGGTGTTGAATTTTTAAGTTAAAGTAAATAAAGCGATTTTTTAAACGTAATGTATTTTAACTACAAAATTATAATAAACAAGAAATTAATTATAATATTATAGAAAATATTAATTTAAGCAACTAAAATTAGTTAATATGCCTGAACTTTTATATAACGTTTCAGGTTCTAGATATGTAAGATGGGAAAAACAACAGAACAGAACTTGAACAAAACAAAATAAGGGAAATTAAAAAGAACAGGACAGAATATGAACAGAACTCAAGAATTAAAATTAAACAGAAGTCTAGAACTGAAATTGAACAGAACTCTGGAACTGAAATTGAACAGAACTCTAGAACTGAAATTAAACAGAACTCGAGAGTTGAATAGCTGAAATTGAACAGAACTCCAGAGTTGAAATTGAACAGAACTCTAGAACCGAAATTGAACAGAACTCTGGAACTGAAATTGAACAGAACTCTAGAACTGAAATTGAACAGAACTCTAGAACTGAAATTAAACAGAACTCGAGAGTTGAATAGCTGAAATTGAACAGAACTCCAGAGTTGAAATTGAATAGAACTCTAGAACCGAAATTGAACAGAACTCTGGAACTGAAATTAAACAGAACTCTAGAACTGAAATTGAACAGAACTCTAGAACTGAAATTAAACAGAACTCAAGAGTTAAATAGCTAAAATTGAACAGAACTCTAGAACTGAAATTAAACAGAACTCAAGAGTTGAATAGCTGAAATTGAACAGAACTCTAGAACTGAAATTGAACAGAATTGAACAGAACTCTAGAACTGAAATTAAACAGAACTCGAGAGTTGAAATTGAACAGAACTCTAGAACTGAAATTGAACAGAACTTAAGCAAAGAAATTGAACGGAACGAAACAGAACAGAACTTGAACAAAACGAAAGAAATGGAATTGAATAGAGCAGAAATTGAAATATTGCGTAGACGTTCGTAGTTAAAATTTAAAAACTGAAAATGTAATTCAATAAAATTTACAATTTTTTTTAATATTTTTATATTCTAAATCAATATTAATTTTTTAAATCTATTATTATTATTATTATTATTAGTTACAAAATCGTTATTTTAAATTAATTTAAAAAATATAATTAGCCTTGAGAGAAAATTGATTCCATTTACTTCAAGTATTGATTAGAAAACAAAACAGAAGGTTAAAATATTTCATTTCCTTCAACTGATAAACTCCCACTTGAGGAAATAAATTCTGATAGCTTTAACTTTATATTAAATAATTTATATATATTTTTTTTTTATTTACAATGTTAAATGACTAATTTTAATTTGTAAATCTAAAATATTTTAAAATTATTTTCGGAATTTCCTAATTTATTATTGAAAAAATAAAGTTAATACAAATCAATTCTTTTTAAAATATGCCTTTAAAATTTTATTTAATTTATGTGAATAATATTAATTCTTATATATATATATTTATAAATAAGTGTACTTTTATAAATAGAAAAAAAGCAATTTATCGAACAAAAAAAATCCAGCAACTAGTTGCGTAACTTTCCCGGCAAAAGAATTTAAATTGTTTGTAGCATCATTGGTTGTGATATTTTATTTTTAAAATGTTTTATATTATTTATTATAATTAAATAGCAAAAAGCTTAGTTTTGAGAGTAGGGCGAGTTTTATAAAAAATTTAAATGCTGATAACGAGTAAAATCGTCATTAAGTCTGACCTCACTCGAGATATGACGCATGATCCTCTATATCTACCCACCCCCTCAACCTTTAACCACCAAAATTTAATAGCATCAATTCCTCTAATACATAAACTTTTCTGCAAAATTTCAGATAATTTCGACAAAAATTACAGGAGTTATTAAGTTTCAAAGTGGGCGAACAAAAACGTACACCCCCACACACGTTAATATCAATACATACACGGGGGAAAAATATTGTATTTCTCGGCATTTTAACGTGTCCTGAATCCAAAAATGTAAAAATATTTGGGGGTCATTTTTTAGAAAATTAAAAAACTAATAAACAGTAAATAAAAATCAAATTTATAACTGGATAATTCTGTACAAATTTAGATCCTTTTTTTCGCATCTTGATAGCTTATAACTTCAAAAACCAAAGAGTTTACAGATTTTTAGGCGTTAAAATCCTTTTAAAAAATATAATAATTAATTATTTTGATTTATATTCAACAAGAAAACCGCAATTTTCTAAGAAAAGAGGCTTTTTTCTCGGCTCCATCATGAATAAACCATTTCAAACCACAATATAGAATAGCATGTGATGGTAGCTTGCCGGAAGATTTATCGTGTGTGGTGGAATCATTAAATTTAATTATTTAACATTAAACTGTATTAATTTATTTAAATTTCTAAACAATAGATTTTAGGATATGTAAATAATTATTTAAAAATATTATTAAGTTGAAAAAAATCACAATTTTTAACTCTACTTAAGAAAAATAAATAAATGTTTTAGTTACAATACTAATGAGTATCAAGTATGTACAGTACAGTACATTCATTGTAATTAGGTAATGTTGTCTTCGTTTATTAATATTTGAGAGTTTCTTAGTTTTTAAATTTAATTTTCACAAATTGTTATTTTATTTAATATTATATAATAACTTAATAATAAACATATCAAGTTATAAATTTAAATTTCTAATAAAAATCACCTTATTTAAACATATGTCGTCTTCTTCAATATACGCGAGATAGATTATGTTAAAAATTCATNAACGTGAACGTCAAACGTCGAGCGGCGCTCGACGTTCGACGTTCACGTTTTACAAATGAAAACTTCGACCGCAACCTGGCTATTGTCTTTTCTTCTTTTCTTCGCTCTTTTTCTTTACTCTTGGCTCCTTATTGTAAATACTCCACTCTGAACTGTTGTTTTTTCCCGTATATTATTGAATAGTTTTTATCTTCAAATATCTCATGCCGCATTGTATTAAATGCATAAACAACAATGACATTCATATACTATATATAGATATATCGCGACATTAAACTGGTAGGTGCTAACACGACATGCAGACGGCCGAATGGCCGAGCGGTTATAATGGCAACCTACTACTCGGAGGGACCCGGAATTGAATCCGTACGAGTCAAATAACCAGAGGAATTTATCGAGGGGAATAAATACATCGGGCTCATTCCATTATGCGCCCCATTGTTAGTCTGGACGAATCCATAATGGATTTGTTAAAAAAAAAAAAGGTCCTCTTTTTTGCCCACAGGGAAAAAAGAGTTTTAAAAAATTCACAGTTGTGTAATGCTATTATTAAAGATTCATGATATGTAAATTCTTATTTAACATATACATACGCAAAAAATATAATGTAATAAATCGATTTACAGTTCTAAAATTATACCTTTGTTAATATTATTCAGTATCTATTGTTAATTCACTTACAGGAGTTGATAATTAGCAGGAAATTTATGTAATTATTGTAATAATAGGGTAATTGTACCGTAATGAATAAGTATACGTAACATATGATATATAGATCGTTGCTAAAATGAATATTCAATTTATGATTTTTTTAAAATATTAACAATTGATTTATTAAGTATTTTAAAAATAAATAAAATTACTTCTCGTTGTATACATAAATTTAATTTAAGCATTTGATAAAAACGACTTTTTATATTTTGATGCTTTCAGTCCTGTGGGCACTTAGAAGCTTTTCTTTCATAAACTTCGTAGGTTTGGTCAAGCCCATAATCAGGGGCAGATCTACACAGGGACTAATAGGGCTTAAGCCATGAACCCCCAATTGTCAAGGGCCCACAAAAATTGAATTATTATCATAAATTTTTAATACTTTTTCATTAACAATGAGCACTTATCGTATAGTAAAAACTAGTTAATATTAATAATATAATAATAAGAAATGGCCCTGGTATTGCTCACAGGACGGAGAGTTTGAAAGAAATACTTTGACATACCGTATTTTTCATAAATTTGCTTGGCATAACCTTCTATCACTGTTATCTTGACGATTTATACCAATGACTTTTGTGCCACCCCGTACTTAATATACATAAATGAATTTATTTTTATCGATCAGTAATTCAGTCTTTCATGATGTACTTAAAAAACGTTAACTGATTTTTGGGGCAGCATATATATACAGTATATGTTTTACTTGGTGATTTATATTTTTAGTATATTAATAGTGCAGACTTTCTTCATAGTGCTATTATGTACTGAAGCAAATAAAACTACTCACGAAATTTTTTTGAATGCTTTCCACCCATAGGCACTAAGAAGACTCTTTTTCTATGCCCATCTTGGGTTCGGCCAGCTTATAATGGAGAGTGTCCGAGGGGAAAAGACGTGGCCCGACTTATCTAGAACAGATCGCCCATGAAAATTCCTACTGCGGATTTGATCTTGGATCCCCCAGAGAAGCAG